AATTAAAAACGTCAGTCTTGACATTTTTTGTTAAAAAAATAAAAAATGAAGAAAAAACGTTTTTGCGTTATTTTTTTTATAATTTTATATGGAAAAATGCCAAAACGTTTTTTTCTTAATAGTAATGCAAAAAAAAAAGTTTTTGGCATTTTTTTTAATAATATTATATGAAAAAACGCTGAAACATTTTTTTTACAATTTTTTTATTTTTTTGCAATATTTTATGAAATTTTAATGATCAACAAAAAATGAAATTATGCAAATATTGAATGATGCAACAATTTAACAGGGACTTTTAGTGGCACAGGAAGAGTTTTTGCGAAAAGTTGGCATTAGAAGTTTTTTTCATTGTCATTGACATTGACATTGACATTGACATTGTCACTGACATTGACGTTGTCATTGACATTTACATAAAGTTATATAAGATTAATCTGAGAGTTTTTTACCAAAAAGGAAATTTTTTTATAAAAGGGAAATGATTTTCAATTTCGAGGCAATTCAGCAGGTGTTTTAATAACAAATTGAGAAATGATTTCCATAGAAAATCTCGTGACAAAATTTATAATAAATTTAAAATAAATGATCAACAAATGATCAACAAAATCGTTACTAGTTTTATAAAAAACGCCCAATAATATCTTTTTATTGTTTTAATTATTATAGTTGACTCAATCAATTCAACAATTGAATATTCGTTGTCTTAACATAGAAAAATATGATCCAAATCCTTTTTGACTTTCGAACATCATGGACAAATATCCGAACTAATCATATTTGTATTACGTTCGGATAACAAAGAAGATTAGTAACAATATTTTTCATTTCCCAACGATGCGATCGGCCGCAGCAAAACTTTTTTTTTTTGGTTTTTTTTTGGTTTTTTTCCTTTTTAATATTTTTTTTTTTAATTTTTTTGGGGTTTAACTTTTTTTCTATTTACAATCTATGTATTTCACCTTTTAGGTTTGGATCGATCGGATTGATACTGCGGTGTACCTTTTTTCCAATTTTTTCTTAATAATTTTTTTCTGGGTTATTTTTTTTACTAATATTTTCTTTTTTTCTAATTTTTCATTGTTTTTTTGCCTTAAATTTATTTTACATGATTTTTGGAAAATATTCAGCTAAAAAAAAATAATTTTAATCAATTTTTAATTTTTCACTCGCGTTATAATCCAATTTATAAATAAATTAATACTCTAAATTAATATTATGTAATAACCAATTTTTCCTAAATATATATATCAGAAATTTCATGTTGATTTAAACTTTCGCTGATTAAAGAAAATTAAAAAATTTCACTATTTGATTGTCTCAAATTAACAATAAAAATGACAAGAAGTAATTTTATTCTAATGATTTATGGGTTCAATTCATATTCATATAAACATTAACATTAATATTAATATGAATATGAAGAATATGATTATATGATAAATATTACTAGTGATGTATTTGGACCTGTCCCAATGAATTGGCCAGAATATAGCGGATTGTGGCACAGTTATGGCAAAACCGTGTGAAACCCAAATGTGTTATTGATGTTTAAATAGATAGCATAAGATAGTTTAATCGTATACATAGCTTAACAGCATAAATTTTTAAATCTTTCCAAATTTGTTATCAAAATTTAAAGTTTCCATACTGATTTTAAATAACTTCTTTGATTATAAATTTCATGGAACAATAATTTTAATAGTGATATTTACATACTTTATTTTATACTTTATAATATATTTTTTTAAGAAAATTTAAATTTTAATAAAAACTACGCACAAGTTATAACACAGTTGTGGTACGGTGATCGAGTTCCAACTGCATCTCTAATAAATATAAATAATATAATTCTTCGGGAAGTAAATTTAAATTAACATTATAATGATGCTAACAATTGACATTTTAAAATTTTTTTTTTTTTATTTAAAAAAAAAAACCCAATTTATAGCATACTATACAAATGGCCATGTGGCGCAGTAAATTTAATAATTTAAAAAAAAATGATTTTTGTTTGATAATAAAAGATCAATGAATCATGGTTTTGATAATATAATAAAGATTTGTTTGCGAATTTATTGTGAAGTCTATTTGAGAAATTATTTTAAAAGCCACAAAATAATTGTAATACGCAAAATAAACAAAAATCATTATTGACTACTAAAAAAGAAGTTGCGAGACAAATAGATTTTTTTTACACGAGTTTGATCATGTTTGTATGATTATTTAATACATTTATGGAAATTTGTGCAACTTGCTAAAAGAGTTTTTTTTTACCCCATTTTTTTTTTTTAAAAAAAAAAAAGAAAATATGTAAAAGGAAAAAAACTGCATCGATTCGTTAGGAATGAGGATAGAGCGTTATGGGATTCAGATTCACCATCCTTTAATCCTAATTATATATAATCTAAGAATATTAAATTTGCAAAAGTTTCTGGTAGATAACAATTTTGATGATCATTTGATCATTTAACCTGCGAGTTTATGGCTAAAAAATTTGTATCACCGTATTTTTAAAGTACAACGGGTTGGGTTACCGAATAGGAATAATTAGCATCTGCTTACTCTACGATAATCAATAAATCAAATGTATCCATTAAAATTCCCTTTTTAATTCTGACGGAATATATCAGTTCCGATTCTGAGATAAAATCAATCTTATTGTGAAATAAGTAATGGGTAACTGTATCAATGATTAATAATTATAGACTTTTTATTCTATTGATAGACTTTATCCATCTTTTTAAATAGACATAATAGTAAAAATTTCGAAATCTATTTTATTATATCGATTCACAAAATCACATGTTGGTACTGCTACAAGTAAAAACCGGAATTCATAATATCTATACTTATTTTCATATAAGTAGATCCATTATTATTTTGCACTACATTATAGTTTTACTATTTGAAAAATGACAGACTTTTTAAATTATTCTTCATTATTAATTTCTACAACAATAAAACATTATCTTAATGGACCTCCAAGACCTTCATGGAATTTGAAAAATCATTTATCTTTTGCAAAGTTTGTATTATTCAATAGTGCCGAAACAATTGAGCAATTTCAAAGTGTCAGTTCTCTTCCTGTTCCTGCAAAAACTGGCGTGATTATAAATGAATTTAAGATAAACAATAAATATAGAAATGAAGCACAAGTTTATCTTGATAAAATTTTGAAACCATATGAACATGTTTTAGACCCTGAATGGAAAAATTTAAAAGATGATGGAATTTTTGCTGAATGGGTTCAAGTTCCTAATGATGAATGGGAAAAAAGAGAAGTTAGGAAAACTATTTTGTATTTACACGGTGGAGCTTATTCTTTTCTTTGTAAAAAATCTCATCGTCCTATTACAAGCTCTTTTGCTAAAATGGCAAATGCAAGAGTTTTAGGTAAGCTTAATCTTGGAAGAATGAAATTTTTATTAATCTATAAATCTATATCTAACTAAAATTTTCGTTTATAGTAATCAATTACCGGCTAGCACCTCAAAATCAATTTCCTGCCGCATTACATGATGCATTATCTGCTTATTTATATCTTTTAAATCCTCCAAAAGATGCGGGATTTGAACCTTTAAATCCAAAAAATATTGTCTTTGCTGGTAATAGTGCTGGAGGCGGTTTAAGTCTAGCTCTTGGTCTTGCTATACGTGATGCTGGTTTGCCATCATCGGCTGGTATTATCGGTTCGGTAAATATAGATTATATTTTTTTTTCTTTGTATTATATTTATTAATCATTCATATGATAATATCACGACACATTACAGAGCCCATGGGTTGATCTAACAGTTAGCATGCCTTCAATAATAAATGATGAATGTGCTGATTTTCTTCCAAATCTGAAAAGTGGTCTTGCTGATAAATTTACAGAATCTCAAGCTAGTAAAGAATACAAAGAAAAAGATGCTGCGTTCGCAGCGAAGATTAAGAACCAAAATCTTGGTCCAAAAATTTGGCATGATTCCTTTAATAGACCTGATGGAAGATTACAATTATACGTAGCTAATGAAGGTTTAGCAATTCCATATGTTAGTCCAATGTTAGCTGAAAGCTTATGCGATTTGCCTCCTTTATTATTGGTAATAAAAGATATCCCTTGATCCTCTCTTAGATTTTTTTTGTACTAAAAAAGGATTTATTTGTATAATATAGACTGCAGGAGATGATGAAAGATTACGAGATGAAATAATTTATTTTGCTCATAAATCTGCTGAACCAACTAAATATAAAGGTCCATCTTATAATGCTGGTAAATTTGAAAAATCTCCATTCCAAACTCCGACAAATACTACACTTGAAATATATGAAGAAATGCCTCACGACTTCCAAGTAAATATTACTAAAAATTGATTTTATTTTTTTTTTAAAAAAAAAATAAAAATTAACTCTTTTAATAATGTATTCTAGTTGTTAATGGAGCATGTTTGCACTACGAAGTCATATGAACGTATGGTTGAATTTATAAATAGGGTGACGAATATTCTTAACGAACCTCTTCCTCCTCTTCCTCCTTCCTCTTATAATTACATAAATGTTAAAGGAGAGTTTGGTCCTTTAAAGGAACGTCATGAAAAAGTTCTTAATTGGGATAAAATTGGCATTGTACCAAGCTAATTAATCACACGAAATGAATTGAAATGAATTCAATGCTACTTCACTATTTCACGTAAATTGATAAGTAAGTTAATAATAAATTTTAAATTTGCGAAATAAGATCTTATTAATTTATCTGAAGATTTATTTTTAGTATACTGAAACTTTTGTATATATTACTGTATATTTCATTTTTTGTTATTTTTATTTATTTATTTATTTTATTTATTTTTTTATTTTTTTTTTACAATTGAAAATAAAATTTCAAATTGATTATAATAATTTTTCCGAGTGTTAAAATATAAAGTTCTATTTTAATTATGTAAGTCAGAAATTCAAATGTGTAGATTATTGTTGCAAAATCATAAAATCATCTACCCGCCCTAACATACTAAAACACGAATTGATACGAGACTTGTAAGTACGATGATAAGTTTTTAATTTCAAATTGCCGCAGCATATCCAATCCGAGTCACTGTTATCACTTCACTAAGTTCGTGATTTTGTATAATATCATTTCCGGTAGAGTTGCACATTCCATTATTTATCTATGGATGTGCGAGAGAGAATAAATAATTTCAAAGCCTTATTGGAAAACGTAAAAACTTAAAAATTAATGGGTAAAATGTACCTGCTTTTTGAATATATGTTCGCTATGAGTACTATAATTCAAAATTTTTCAGTTAATGATTTTGATATTATACTTTAATAACAACCTTAATACTATATTTCACCTTCCAGAATGACATAAATACTTTTCACCTGTCAAAAGGTCTTATGTTTTAGGAAGAATATGTAAATGGGAGAGAATCTTCTTAGTAACCAAGTATTGGGTAAGAAATGGCAAATACATTAGGTGAGCCATATGGCGCAGTAAATTTAATAATAACAATCACTGGTCGAAGTGGGATGATTTGCATGAAGTTTATTGCCCATAAATAGCTTATACATTTGTTGATCTCAATTACGCTTAAGAAATCTCCATCAAATTTAATTTATAGATTGAAACGGGTAAAATTTATTGTAAATTTTATGATTTTAAAACTAATTCGCTAATTATAATGTATAAATTCTAAATAAATTTTAATTAAATTTAATATCAATGTTTATTACGCATATAATAGCTTGAAATTTACTTGAAATATGATATTAAATTTGCAACAAGCCATTTACTTACTATTATTGAAATTTTGCTATACTAAAACAAAATTTATATTATTACAAAATTACAAAAAAAAAGCAAAGAGATAATCATAAACTTCGTAGCCACGCTCAATTAAGGCAATGTATTACTAGACCTATGCTAAAGATGACTTTAGCAAGGCTTTCTTTGTGAAATTAAAAGAAATTTCATACACTTTGCCAGCTGGTGAGAAAGCTTATGACCTCTAATAATCTCAAGTCAATTTATATTAAAAAATCTAGAATGTTTGTGAGAAATAATAATTAATGTTATATTATTGTATTTGCTATTTGTGTCATTTTGTGATGGTTAAGTTGAACATATTCCAAGCATCAAAAACCATAATTGCAGTTTATTATTTTGAAGAGTATAAAAGAAAATGTAAAGAAAATTAAAAAATAGTTTATTCGTGATTAAAAATAGTTAAAATAGTTAAAATAGTTTAATATGTTATATCAATCCTCAAAATGGAATCGGGTCCTATTTTGTCATGTGTATCACATGATATAATAACTGATAGGCGCAGTTCAATGACGGATAATCTTTCTTTAAAAAAAAAGTTTGTTCTTTCCCATAATTCCTTTCCCTCTTTCTCCTTCATTAATTTTTTTTTCACAACAATGACATCAATGAGCTATTGGTATGAACAACTGACAAAAATTAAAGGAAATGAACAAATAATTCCAATGGCTCAAAGTTGAAGTTCAACTGAACATTTTCGCAAATAGTGCTCTCTTAGGTGATTTCTTTTTATTTTTATCAATTTTTTGAATTTTTTTTTTGTTTTATCGTTATTTACTATAATTTTCTTTTTTTTTCTTATTATTTTTCATAAAATTTTTTCCAAGCCTATGATAGCTGGACTTGAAGAAAACAAAAGTAAAAATTATACTTTACAATAAAACAAGAACTGGAAATTAAAATAAATGGCAAGTTAGTTTTGTTTTAATAGTTCATTATTAGTATTAGAAATGTATTAAAATTTTCTTTTTAATTTTTTAAAGGTAACAGAGAATCTTCAGACGATTGGTGATTATTGGGGAAAAAGTTTCTATAAAAAATGTATTAAATGTTCCTTCTTTTTTTTTTGGTAGGTAATGTTCTCTGGAGGGACTTTTTGGACAGTAAGTAAAATTTTTGGGAAAAGAATTTCGCCATTAATTATGAGGAACATACTAAATTTCCTTTTTTTTTATTTTTTTGTAGGTAATGACTTGTCTGTGGAAGACTTTTGGATAGTGAGTTATTTCTTTTGAGAGGAATTCGTCATTTATCTGTAAGAAATGTCTGACGCTTCTTTTTTTAATCTTTATAGGTTCTGTATTTCCAGACTTNGTGAGTTATTTCTTTTGAGAGGAATTCGTCATTTATCTGTAAGAAATGTCTGACGCTTCTTTTTTTAATCTTTATAGGTTCTGTATTTCCAGACTTTGGTAAGCTATTTGAATTCAGAATTGACTTTAAGAAACCTATTTTAAAAGAATTTTATTAATGAAATTTTTCTTTTTTTATTTTTTAGCCTTATGGTACTTTGGATCTTTGAAGCAGAATTTTGTTAATGGAAGATGAAGTTTTTTCTCTCATTTTAACGTGGATTTTTTTGACACATGGACTTCTGATAATTCTTTTTTTAAAGTTCTTTTTTTTAATTTAAAAAAAGGGAAAGTGATTTTTAAATTATTTTTAATGAATTCAGTTTTTTAGACGGCTTCATTAGGATCTTTAGACACGTAGGTTATGGTGTACTTTTTTTTTATATTCTTAAACTTTTTTTTTTAATATAATATTAACCTAACAACTTCATTTTCGTTCTTATTTGGATAAGTCTTCAGCTCTTTGGAGGCTGATTTCGGTAAGATATTTTTTTTCTTTGACATTAAAAAATGATTACTAACTTTTTTTTCTTTTATAGATGACTTGCTCTTTGGTATCCAGAGATATTTTTGAACATGGATTTCGTAAGTTCAATTTTTTTCTTTAATTTTTCTTTTAACAAAGAATGATCACTAATATTCATCATCTTTCTTTTTTCAGATGGTTGGTTTTTTGACTTTTTAAACACGTGAAAACTTGGTGAGATTTGTTTCTAATTATGCATTTCAATGAAATGTTTTTACTAACATTTCAATTTTCTCTTTTTTAGATGGTCTAGGTCTCTGAATCAAATGTTTAGGGATCTTGTAGAAAAGAAGTTTGAGGTTAGAGATCATAGGCTTTCTCACCAGCTGGCAAAGTGTATGAAATTTCTTTTAATTCACAAAGAAAGCCTTGCTAAAGTCATCTTTAGTGTAGGTCTAGTAATACATTGCCTTAATTGAGCGTGGCTACGAAGTTTATGATTCTTAAATAGAAGTGAAGTTTCATTATAATATACATAAAATTTATATAAAATTTATAATAATTTATTGTATTTATTGTTAATATTTTAGCTATATATTTGCAAATATGAGCGAAATTTCATTAACATTTCTTATATCATAAAAAATTTCTGTTTAATGTATTATAAGTTTAAATGATATATAAAGAAGGTTTTATCACAATTTAAAATACATTTATATAATAGAAACTTGTAAATTTCAAATGACATATACACTTCATGGAAATTGGACAAGTTTACAACAAATTTCCTTAATATACACTTTAATTGGAATTAATTGAAATTACTGGTAAATCAATTTGAAATGTGACGTGTATATAAAATTTCTCTAGTGTAAATGTATTGCACATCCCCCTACTTCGACCAGTGAATAAAAAACTTCATGAACTTTATGTTATTCATTTCAAATATCAATAGAACTCCTCCTTATAACAAATAAATTTAGGAAAGCAGAATATTTTATCTTATTCTAGCTATAGTACCCTATAAAAAACCCTAAAAAAAAATCATTCGAAAAATGTGTTAATTCATATGATATTCATGCGATTTTGTATTTTATTCAATAAACATCCGAATTTAAAAAAAAGCAATTTTAGTTAAATTTTAAGCATTTAAATAGTATCCTCCGAAAATAATTTAAAAAATGTACAAAAAAAGTCGTAAACAAAATCATCATATTAACAATCAATTAATATGATACAAAAAAATACAATTTTTGTTACTTAATCGTCATCCCATTCTTCCATACAATCCTTATCAATAATATACGTTGTGCGTCCCAAATTCATAAAAACTACACACCTTTTTATTGCAGTAACATCAATGAATTGTGTAGCACCATCACCTGCTCCACAATATCTTCATTCATTAGTTCATCATATCTTGGCATTTCATCCATCATGATACTTCATCTAGCTATTGATCCATCTTTTGATGCTTCATCCACTGGCTCATCTTCTGATAATTCATCCATTGGTCCATCTTCTGATAATTCATCTATTGGTCCATCTTCCTGATGCATCGTCCATTGGTTCATCTTCTGATAATTTATCCATTGATCCATCTTCTGATGATTCATCTAATGGTTCATATCCTGATGCTTTATCCATCGGCACTAGACTATTATTTGCAAAAGCTAATATATTGGTAAATTATTATTATCTGTCCAAAAGAATCAACATACCCGAAATTATCCATTTCCATAGTATCATTACTATGGTTTATTATTATTATTTCATTTGAATCCAAGGAATAATATTCTTGCTTATTATGTTGATAATGCTTACGGCTATATGTGCGTGTTGATTTACTAACATAAGAACCTGACACTTATAACAGGTACATCATACTAAGTTAATAATTTTAAAATAATGTTATGGTTGTAATAGAAATATATTTTAATGTTAATGGTAAAAAGTGTAAATTGTAAATTTGAAAATTAAATAATTTTTAATGTAACTTTTATAATTAATCATTTATTACGTCATTTTTTGATCATCAAATATACTTTTACTACAATGATTTATAAGCAAAGTTAACAAGTTGATTGAACTTAACCTTTTTATTAAAAATAGTCTGAAAAAAAATAGTATAATTTTTTAATTCTTTTACTTTTATTTTTAATATAATAAACTCAACTTTCTTTCAAAACTACTTTTATAATTCTTTTTGCTCAAATAACAATTAAATTTTTATTTTATTATATAAAAATATAATTTTTTTACAATAATGGAAAGAAAAAGAAAAGTAAAAGAAACAATTAGTAATGATTCTGAGGATGATTATAATTTTCACCAAGTGAAAACACGAATGATAATTCCTCTATATCAAATGATGAATTCGAGACTGCTAAACAGTCTCATGATAATAATCACAAGTTTACTATTGTTATGGAACGTATTGTGCTGAAAATGCACGTCTTCAAAAACATCTTAATAAAGAAAAAAAAACAGCAAGCTGTTAATAATATAAGAAGTAAGTTAGATGATGATGATATTTCAAGTGATAATTCAGAGTTATCTAGGCTAAAGAAAATATCCAAACATGCTAAACTTAACCAACATTCATTTGATTTAAGTATTAATGAGCATGAGGTAATTATTATAATAAATTAAATGAAATTGTATTGCTGATAAAAATTATTGAGTAAAATTACTAGTAGCCTATTCCTAAGCCAAAAGTTGGTCGTAAATATTTGGATATTCGCAAAGTACTCAATATAGAAAAAGAAAAGTATAACAGTTATTGGGTAAGTATATTATTTACTAAAGATATTGTAGCGAACGGTCGATCACGTGACCAAAATTCAACTTGATCACGAGGCGACGAATCAATGTTCCGAATGTTGCGTATATATATGCTACATATTAAATATGTTTCACATATTGAACATATTAAATATGTATAGAATTTTAGATATATATAGACCTGTAATAAATGTTAAAATGATATATAATATATTAAATAAATTTTTTAAAAGAAATTTTTCTTCCAGATTTGTATATTTATTTATTCAATTCAAAAAACTCTTTAACTTAAAGAAGAAAACTTTTTATATTAATTAAAAAAAACATTCTTTTTTTTTTTAAAAAAAAAAAAAAAATGATTTTTTTTTTTTTTTAAAAAAAAAAAAAAGAATGATTGCACTTTAAGATAAAAGTTTCATTTTTTTTTTTCATTTAAAAAAAATATATTGTTTGTTTGATAATAAAAGACCAATAAATCACGTTTTTTTATAATATAATAGCGAAATTATTGTGAAGTCTATTATTTTAAAAGCCACAAAATATTTGTAATACGCAAAATAAACAAAGATCATTATTGACTACTAAAAAAGAAGTTGTGAGACAAATAGATTTTTTTTACATGTGTTTGATCCGGTTTTCATTGTTTGTATGATTAATTAATATATTTTTGGAAATTTGTGCAACTTGCTAAAGAGTTTTTTTTTACCCTTTTTTTTAAAAAAAAAAAAGAAAATATGTAAAAGGTAAAAAACTGCATCGATTCGTTAGGAATGAGGATAGGCGTTATAGGATTCAGATTCACCATCCTTTATATATAATCTAAGATATTAAATTTGCAAAAGTTTCTGGTAGATAACCAAAAAAGAGTAATACTTTGCAATTTTGATGATCATTTGATCATTTAAATCTGGCTAAAAAAATTTGTATCCCCGTATGTATTTTTAAAGTACAACGGGTTGGGTTACCGAATAGGAATAATTAACATCTGCTTACTCTACGATAATCAATAAATCAAATGTGTCCGTTAAAATTCCCTTTTTAATTTTGACGGAATATATACATAGAGTCAGTTCCGATTCTGTGGTAAAATCAATCTTATTGTTCTTATCGTGAAATAAGTAATGGTAACTGTGGGTATCAATGATTTTCAAAGCGCAGCCGTGAAAATCATGATATTAATAACAATAGACTTTTTATTTGGGACTTTTTATCCATCTTTTTAAATAAACCCCACCCAAATAGGAACCGTAGGATAATAAACAATATGTTATTTATAAGTACCAAAAAAATATTATATAACTAGTTATAGATATATTAATAGTAAAAATTTCGAAATCTTCACAGAATCACATGCTGGTACTGCTACAAGTAAAAACCGGAATTCATACTTATTCTCATATAAATAGATCCATTATTTTGCACTACATTATAGTTTTACTATTTGAAAAATGACCGACTTTTTAAATTATTCTTCATTATTAATTTCTACAACAATAAAACATTATCTTAATGGACCTCCAAGACCTTCATGGGATTTGAAAAATCATTTAACTTTTGCAAAGTTTTCATCATCATCCAATAGTACCAAAACAATTGAGCAATTACAAACTGTTAATTCTGTTCCTGTTCCTGCAAAAACTGGCGTGATTATAAATGAATTGAAGATAAATAATGAATATAGAAATGAAGCACAAGTTCATCTTGATAAAATTTTGAAACCATATGAACATGTTTTAGACCCTGAATGGAAAAATTTAAAAGATGATGGAATTTTTGCTGAATGGGTTCAAGTTCCTAATGATGAATGGGAAAAAAGAGAAGTTAGGAAAACTATTTTGTTTTTACACGGTGGAGGTTATATTTTTCTTCGTAAAGAATCTCATCGTCCTATTACAAGCTCTCTTGCTAAAATAGCAAATGCAAGAGTTTTAGGTAAGCTTAATCTTGGAAGAATGAAATTTTTATTAATCTTTAAATCTATATCTAACTAAAATTTTCGTTTATAGTAATCAATTACCGGCTAGCACCTCAAAATCAATTTCCTGCCGCATTACATGATGCATTATCTGCTTATTTATATCTTTTAAATCCTCCAAAAGATGCGGGATTTGAACCTTTAAATCCAAAAAATATTGTCTTTGCTGGAAATAGTGCTGGAGGCGGTTTAAGTCTAGCTCTTGGTCTTGCTATACGTGATGCTGGTTTGTCATCATCGGGTGGTATTATCGGTTCGGTAAATATAGATTATACTTTTTTTTCTTTGTATTGTATTACCAATCATTCACATGATAATATCACGACACATTACAGAGCCCATGGGTTGATCTAACAGTTAGCATGCCTTCAAGAGTAAGTGACGAATGTGCTGATTTTATTCCAAATCGTAAAGGTGGTGGTACTGCTGATAATTTTACAGAATCTCAAGCTAGTAAAGAATACAAAGAAAAAGATGCTGCACTCGCAGCGAAGATTAAGAATCAAAATCTTGGTCCAAAAATTTGGCATGATTCCTTTAATAGACCTGATGGAAGATTACAATTATACGTAGCTAATGAAGGTTTAGCAATTCCATATGTTAGTCCAATGTTAGCTGAAAGCTTATGCGATTTGCCTCCTTTATTATTGGTAATAAAAGATATCCCTTGATCCTCTCTTAGATTTTTTTTGTACTAAAAAAGGATTTATTTGTATAATATAGACTGCAGGAGATGATGAAAGATTACTAGATGAAGTGATTTATTTTGCTCATAGAGCTGCTGAACCAACTAAATATAAAGGTCCATCTTATAATGCTGGTAAATTTGAAAAATCTCCATTCCAAACTCCGACAAATACTACACTTGAAATATATGAAGAAATGCCTCACGACTTCCAAGTAAATATTACTAAAAATTGATTTTATTTTTTTATTAAAAAAAATTAAAAATTAACTCTTCTAATAATGTATTCTAGATGTTAATGGAACATGTTTGCACTACGAAATCATATGAACGTATGGCTGAATTCATAAATAGGGTGACGAATATTCTTAACGAACCTCTTCCTCCTTCCTCTTATAATTGTGTAAATGTTAAAGGAGAGTTTGGTCCTTTAAAGGGACGTCATGAAAAATGTCTTAATTGGGATAAAATTGGCATTGTACCAAGCTAATTAATCACACGAAATGAATTGAAATGAATTCAATACTACTTCACTATTTCACGTAAATTGATAAGTAAGTTAATAATAAATTTAATAGATTTTAAATTGTGAAATAATAAGATCATATTAATTTATCTGAAGATTTTCTTTTTAGTGTACTGAAACTTTCGTATATATTACGGTATATTTCATTTTTTGTTAGCTAGTTTATTTATTTATTTATTTTATTTTATTTATTTTTTGTTTTTTTTTTCATTTTACAATTAAAAATAAAATTTCAAATTGATTATAATAATTTTTACGAATTTTAAAATATAAAGTTCTATTTTAATTAATGGAAGTATTTTGTAAGTCAGAAATTCAAATATGTTGATTATTGTTGCAAAATCATAAAATCATCTACCCGCCCTAAACAAAAAACACGAATTGATACGAGTACGATGAAAAGTTTTTAATTTCAAATTGCCGCAGCATATCCAATCCGAGAGTATCAGTCACATGTGATTTTGTATAATTTATGGATATTGTACGGTGTTGTATTTATATTGGTTAACGTCACGTCGTCACGATATGACGTTAACCAATGTAAATACCACGTGCAATATCTACGGCTAATGCAGATCATGCTCCATTAAAAGTTTATTTAATTATAAGCTTTTTTTTCTTCCTAGTTCTTTTTTTTTCTTTATAAATAAATTTCTTTTTTGTCATTATGCCTCGTGAAAATAACAGAATTTATGAAAAAGCTTTATTAAGTTGTATATTAGATAGAAAATGTTTAATATTATTCATAATAATTTTGATTTTTGAATAAGGCTTCAAGTGAAATTTAGAAAAAAATGTGAACTTCTTCTGTGAAATTGGAAAAGTTAAGAATACAGAATATTCTACCAATAATTGGATACGTGCTGTAGAATTATTTCGTGCTAAAAATAATTAGTATAAAAGAAAATTAGAGGAAATATCCGAAATAAAAGTGTTGGATTCTCAATTAGCACAATATTTAGCAGCCATGAAACAGCAAAATGGCAATGAATATTCTATTTCTTCAATTAAAGTGGCTTTTTCAGCAATTTATCGTTATTTAAATCAAAATCAGTCATATCAAATTCAATTTATATGATGATAAAATATATAAGCAATTCTGGCAAGTTCATTCAGGGAAAATTAAATATTTGACAGATTTAGGATATGGAGAAAAAAATGGTTCTAATGGATTGTCTAATGAAGAAGTTCAAAATATTTTAAACCATTCTATAATGGATGGATCTACACCACAATCACTACTTAAAAAAGTTTTTTTTTTTACAATGCAATATTATTAGGCTTACGTGGGGGAGAACATTTTTATTTAATGGATGAAGATTTTAAAAAACGTGAAGATGGAGGTTTTGATATACTTATATATCAATCCAAAACAAATCGGCGAGTGGAAATCGGAAATCGTGGAAAGGCTGCTGATAAATTTATCTTACCAAATAATCCAGATATAATTGGAGTTTATGAAAATATTTGTCCTACTGCCCTCAAGTGGCTGAGCCAAATTTTTATCTTCAAGAATGTGACGAACCAGATGGTAAATTTAATGTTATTATTTATTTCATTAATCTGTTTATTTATTTAATTTATATCCGTTAATTTGTATTATTAGCTTTATATACAGGATGCTGGTATAAGGGAATTCATGTTAGACAAAACTGATTAAAAAATTTTATGAATAAAATATGCAAAATGTGTAGTATTGATTATATTAACCAAAAAATTACAAACCATACTGGACGTAAAACACTTGTACAAGAGCTTCAAAAATTGGGTTTTTCAAGAGATTCAATGAAATTAGCAACTCGACATAAAAATGTAGAAAGTTTAGATTCATATGAATTACCAAGAGAACAAGAACAAATTGGAATGATTAATAATTTGGTAGATAACATTCAATGTACTAAAAGAAAACAAGGTATGTAATAAACCAAATATTTTATCATTATGTTAATGAAAAATATAAATTGATTTAAATTTATTATTTAGAGGAATATGACGCTAATACATTTGATATTGATAACAATTATAAGATGAAAAAGAATAAAGGATTTGTTACAGCTAAAGAAGGTTAGAAATATTATTGAAGTTTTTTGATTTCATTTTCTTTATTTAGTATATTTTAATTAATATTTTTTAATTTAGCTTTTGCCTCTAATTGTGAAATATCAAATACGAATAATTTGAAAGATTTACATAAATCTTTACAAGAAATTAATCCTAACAATACTAATCAATTTAATAAATAGTGGAGTTTTACAACGTGTAAAATTAAACATTAATATTTCAGACACGTAAATGACGTAAATGTTCATCATTTAATTATTGCATAATCATGCTGATTTTGCTTGACCAATATTATCATATATTGCCGATCACCGTACAATATTAAGCATCAAGTAGTTTATTTTTGTACAATATTAAAAGAGAAAAAATTGTTGATGGAACTCCTGTTAAATACGATCCTATAGGGCCGTGCGATAATATATTTTAATGAAAAACTATATTTCACCTTCCAGACTGACATAAATACTTTTCACCTGTCAAAAGGTCTTTATGTTTTAGGAAGAATATGTAAATGGGAGAGAATCTTCTTCCATTCAATAATCTGGAAAGATTTCTGATTTAAATTCGTAGCCAAGTATTGGTAAGAAATGGCAAATACATTAGGTGAGCTTTGCCAGTTTATAATCATGCTGCAGTTCAATTGATTGCAAAGGATGTCTCATAAAAATATCAAGCAATAGCCAATAGGAACGTTAAAAATAACAATTATAGACTTATAGTACTGATTAATTAATAGTTAAAATAATCATTATTAAAAATTATTACAGTTATGGCTACACCCTATTTTATTTTATTTATTTTTATTTTATTTTATGTGAAGTCGGAAAGAATATCATATGGCTACACTCTATATAATCTTTCCATAATCGCTGAAGGTTTATGGTATCACGTGACATTGTGATAATCTGTAACCGCAAAATTGAATAGTCATGACTAATATTATAACAATACAATATAGATATTTGTCAGCGGTTTTTACTGCAAGCAATTCAAAAAAGATTTATCAGCATAAAAAACTTTTCAATGTAAAAAGTAAAAAAAAAGTAAAAAAAAGTAAAAAGTCTCACGATCACACTATAAATTCAGTTACGAGTTTATTTGTAGTCTATTTAACGATTTTAATGGCTTGATATTCATCATCAATAATAAAGTTAAGATATCACATGTATGATCAATATAATCATGGGTCATCTTTCGAATTCTATTGATTTAAATATTGATCAAGCATTCTGACTATACTAGCAGATCCATAAAGGGTTTTACTTCCCGCTCTCCCTATATATATTTCCCACTCTTTCCTTTTCTACCTTTCGTTCGTTGTCTCTTATTTATCTCACATTTTCTCTCCTTATTTTACTTATTTTACTGACTCCCTCCTTCTTTATTCCTTCACCACTTCCCTTCTTTTATCTTTTCATTTAATATACTCCTTTCATCTTTACATTTAACTTTATAAAGGAATATTGCGGTGATAGATAAAGATTTTTCTTGTTTTTCGGGTGCTTTTGTTGGAGCAGCATGATGCTATGCACGGGTGGGAGCATAGGAGGCTTACTTTGTAAGCCTATGAGTACCAGCTTTTGCTGCAGTCTCATAGTAAGGGCTGGTTGGAACTTTTTGGAGCGGTATAGTACTATGCGAGGGTTAGAGCATAGGCGCTTGCTTTTAGTAAGCTCGTGGGTACCAGCTTTGCTGCAGTCCTGCGATAGGACCGGTTGGTTGTGGTACGGCATGGTGCTATGCGTAATTTCATGGGAGGAGCATAGTACACTTCTTAGGAAGTCCCTTGTGGTAGGGCCGTAGTACTTTTCATTATTATATTAATATGCTTAATAATGAAAAATGGCAAGATTTAAAAATGTGATTAATAAAAATTCTGTTTTTGTATAAATTAATTCCAACCCACAAGATTTTTCGAATTATGATGGAAATAAACTAAATATTTTCAGGTAATTATTGAACTTAATGCACGAATAACTGTCTTTTTTAACTGTTTATTTTCTTTTTTGATTAATCCCTGTTTATTAAAATAAATGTTTACTAATCACAGCCACCATGATTTTATGAAAACATTATTATTAAATTAACAAAAAAGGGCAGAATTCGCGGTGTTGCAAAATATACTATTATATATAAAAAGATATCAAATTAGACTTGCAAAAATCAGACTCTTTATATTCAATTTTATCTAATATATAACAATCATTTTGGGTAATTATAATATGACAAATAATTGTTCTCAAAATATTTCATTTTCATTTTATCAATTGACTATTATATAACTACAACATAAAATTTTTATGTCGCTATCCCGATAAATAAACTTTAAAATAAATATTTAAAATTACCGTTATAAATAATATCTACACTTACGCTGATAAAGAATTTCTGCAAGCACATTGGAAATTTTTTTTACTTATTAGTATCAATTGTCCAGTAATTGTCCCAACAAATATGATGGGCGTTCTAGGTGCTTTAGGCGTTAGTTATTTATTGCGTGAATATAAGTATTATTTACGCATGATTACGCTTAAAAAATTTTCCGACGTATAACGAGTTCAAAACACTAATAAGAAAGCCAGACCATACTATTATTGACGTAAAATAGTATATTTAATTTATTTTTTCGAGGTAAATATTACATTTGCAAACCGACTTTATAAGTTTTATTGGTCAATATTTTACAATACCATTTACATTTTATTGGTTAGAATAGAACGATGAGATAGTTGAATTTTCTATACAGTAATAAGTGATGTAGTTTAGTTGATACGTTACCATAAAATTATATATTTAGTAGTATGAATTTTTATATTACTGCATTCTTTAGATATGCGTACGTAATTTTGTTTTAATAATTAATAAAAGGATGGTGATGTGACTTTATATAACTTTTAAAATTAATTTATTTCTAATAAGAGTTAAATAAATTTTAATCATTACTTTATGTGTGAACTTGCTAATAGATTTAGTTCAAAAGGAAGTAGTGTAGTGCCATAACTATAGGATTAATTTTATACTTCGGAATTATAAGGATCGTCTATATTTTGTGTAACATTAATAGTCCGAAGTAAATTGGATCGGAAGTGAATATCATTTCAATAATAATTGTCATAGTAAATAATTAATATTTACGTTGATCAAAGGATCAATATATATAAACCCAACTTTTTGATTTAGTTTTAGTAGTTCTTTTCAACTCTTTTTCTTTAAGTCTCTTTTCTTTGAACAATTCTAATAATTTTTATAATTATTTTATAATGTTTTGACGAATTTTATGATTATATTATTTATATTTGATAAATAATGGAGTTATAATAACATATTCTTACATAATAAAGAATAAACTTTTTATTAAATTATAAATTTTATGATTATAATAAACAAACAAAATTCTTGTGGCGACAGAGTGGCAGAAGCTGTCGTTGCAGTAGAAAATTTTTTTTTCACGTTATTTAATTTGAATTTACGAAATATTCCGATTCTTAAGATTGGTTACACTATTTCGCTAAGCCACCTTTAATCACACCATCATTTGTAATCACGCCACATTATTGTGATCATCATTTAATTATATTAAGAGCAAGAATTTTTTAAGCAAGTGATTCACATAGATTACATATTTTCAAAATGTCATCAACTTCTCGATCTAACTTTTATACAAAATCAAATCTGGTTTATATACCATTTTCAATAACGATCGCTCATATATTAATTTTTATCGTCAATTCGCCTTCATCAACGTGGCAAAAATTTCCACCTGAATTACCTAATTCAGTTTATTCTTCAGTATTTTTTGCTCCGATATTATTATTTATATCACTCACATATGAGCCAATTCATACAAGGAAACGTTTTTACGTATTATTATCTCTTGCACTTTTATTTGTATCAATTCCGATGATTTATCGTGGAAACAAATCTTCACTTCACAATTGTTTTGTGACTATTGCTTTAGCTCATGGAATGAAAATGTTATTATTCTTAAAATTAAATAGAACATACAAATATCCAAAGAATTCAAAAAATTTTAAACCGTACTTTTGGACATTATTTAATTGGCGTTTTAATTCTTATATAATTCCTCCAAAATCGGATTATTCAAATGAAAAAGAGAAATCCTTAATTATTAAATCAACCACAACTTCACAAATTAACAAAAGATTACTTAAGTGTCTCATGATCATCATCGCGAAATGGTTAATGTTTGAACTTGTATTTTCTACTTTCCTAATTTCAACTAAATGGGCAACAGAAACCCCGGAAAAAGTTTATCAAGTTCGTTTATTAGAATTTTTTACAAAAGGAATTACTCCCACTACAATACCTTCAATTTTATACATCTTACATTTTTTCGCATGCGCATATTTATGGATGTCAATAAATTATGATGCCCCTATTTTCATTATTGCTATCATTTTTCGTTTATTTTTTCATTCCACATCAAAAAATAATCACTACCAATCCATTTTGATTCGATTTGGTTTTCTCAACCCTTCAGAGTATATTTCTTTAAAAGAATGGATGATCACATTACTATTTAATACAAAACCTCTTTTTGAAGAACCATGGATGGCATCAAATCCTCGTGATTTTTGGTCTACTCGTTGGCAATTATTCCTTAATGAATTTCTTAAGGAATATGGTTTTTTACCAGTTAGGAATTTATTAACTCCAATTATTCCAAGAAAAATTGCAAATATGATGGGAGTATTAGGTGCTTTTGCTATTAGTTCTTTATTACATGAATTTCTTATGATTGCAAATTTTAATATTTGGACGGGAGAACAATCATTTTTCTTTATGATTCATGGTTTAATATTTATATTATGGGAAACTATATTTGGTTGTGAAAAGAAGGATGAAATTACAATGATTAAAAGGGTATTAAAATGGGTCTTATTATTAGTTATAAATTTATTGATTTTGCCTGCATTTGTTGAACCTTCACTAAGAAATTATAAATATTCCGAGATTTCAACTCTTACATCAGGTTATGCTCAACGCTATATGAAAAATTTATAAAATCATGATATAAAAACTAATTTTAATATTTCATTATTATAATAAACAATATATTTATTCAATTTAAAATTTACAAATAATACGTTAAAACAAGTGAGCAACCTTTTGGTTTGTAATGTTTGGCTGGCTTGCAGCGTTGGCTTGTGATGTTTTGCCATAACATCAGGTAATCTTTTTCCATGCGTTATGCACCAAAATGTACTTTCCTTAACTAATATTTACCATATTATATGTGTACCCACATTTGCTTTATATCATCAATATGAATTTGTCTATAATATAATTCTAAAAAAAAAATTACGTTTATTATATTTTTCTTTCCTGTTTGATTTTGTAAAAAAAAAAAAATTGTTTTCCGGGTTGGCAATCAAAAATCAGCTGATCTTTTTTTGGTATTGAAAAAATTAAAAAAAATGATTAGAAGAATTTATTTTCGGTATTAAAAAATAAATAAATAAATAAAATAAAATATAAAAAAAACGCCGGTGCAATGGAGGGCACGAATTGCGAATACTTAGCTCCTACAATCGATTCTGCTTATTTGCAGGTCACGGTGAGGGAAAGTTTCAGCGCCGGTTATTAGGAATACGAACGCCCTAAGACCATGTGGCGATCTGCTTTCGTTGCTGGAAGCCGATGATAAAAACCAAAGGATTCATACCATTATGGATGGGGGAATTCATCAAGATGATTGAAGCTGAAGGTCTAATGCGGAAACATTGGGACAACGAACTGAATGTGCTGACCCCCTCTGACCGACTTTGGTCCTTGCACAACAAGTGGGCTGGGCTAACACTTTACCCAGCGAGTCCATGAAAAACCTAGCGTATGTAACCTTGCCGAAGATTCCGTACGGAGCTTTTGCTCATGACACTATTTTTGCATTCAAAAGTTTGTGCGCAAAATAACCGCCTTCATGTTCCACTCCGATTACAAGTTCATTACTGATAAACTTCCGGCCAGAGAGAATACCAAAGGCTTTTCACCATTCCCGCAACCAATACCTCCAGAGCAGATTTCTGATAAATATGACCGGATTGAAGATCATTTGCGCCATACATTAGAGGTTTATCGAAACTCATTAGACTGGTAATTGATTCTCACCTTTTACGCGTATTATTTTACTCCCTTTTTCTTTTTTCATTTAAAACCATTTCAACCAGAATTATTCTTCAAACATATTTACTAAATTTCATTTAATATTTTCCTTATCTCATTTTCGTTAAAAAATCACACTTTCGCAGATATTTTGCGTTAAATTTCATCTGGTTTTCTCTCCCTTTCTTTCTTTCATTAAAAAATTCCAATAAGAATCATTTTCACACATATTTTCGCCATTTCATAAAAAATTTCATAATTACTTCCCATTTCCACATGTTTTTACTAACTTACTGAAGGTTAATTAAGCCTTTTTTTTTGTTTCGACTAATTTAAAAGAATGGAAGGGAAATTGTCTAGCGGTTAGTATAATCAAATTTATTATGCTCAGTTGCAGTAGAATGTTGATCAAATTTATTTTTTTTCTGTTTTTTTTCAAACTTGGTTCTCCTGGTTTTATAATTGATAGACTATCATACTCCTTCTCATCGCTGACGAACTTCCGCACATCGACATGATGATAGAACCACCCGATAACTGCCCTGCAATGTTCCATATCATATCTCGGATAGGCTGGGGATTCAACTCATGTCTTCTCCCAATAAGAGCCCGTCCTTTCTTAATAAATACTGACATGTTTGCGTCTGTCATATTCGACGATTTATAGCTGTATTAGTGTTATTATATAGCATAAACTTCATAAATTATCATATAAGTCTTTTTTTACTTATTCCAATCCAAGATATTCCTGCGATTGTTACATTGATTCATGCTAGTCCGGAATGCCGATCAACAGCTCGGAAGATTTTTGTTGCACGGTAGACCAGTGTTGTGACTGGGACTGGGACATGTCCTTGGATGGGACAGGACGGGACAGTCCAGGACTTGGACAAGATGTTGTTGATGTCCAGGACAAAAATTCATTATAAGAGGATATATGATTTATATATATGATTTATATATAATATTAATAAATTGGACAATATTTTGGACAGGACAGGACGGGACAAATGAAATTGGACTTGGACAGGACATCGAAATTTTGTGGGACACTGTCCCGCCACATCACTGCGGTAGACTCTGTGCGACGGCTGAATTTCTCACATAAAATTTTACTCTTGTCCTCTCATACACCGCACTTTGCACCAATAGAATTTCGCAAAAAACAGTATAAACCCGAAAATGTCAGTCACGTTACTCTGTCTCATCAAAGGAAAATACGACTGCAAATTGCTTATATTATTAGTATGTTATATCCCGTAACCTAACCACTACACTATTTATATACGATAGTAAAAGAAAGCAATGAAATTTTCATTCTACATTTTCTGTTTTTACTATTTATATTGATGACATATTTTAAAACTATTTCTTGAACTCCGCAGTAATATCTGTGGGTGAATCCCACGTATTCCGCTAAAGAATTCTATTGATTTCCAATGAGATTTACGATACACGAAAATCTCAGAAACTGATCCACATATTTCTATTAGCTGGAAAATATGATTCTTTTATACTTTGCGCATGGAAATGGGAAATTAACCCGTTTTACTTAGTTGGATTATATAAAAATTATGTAATTTTTTCTACGATTATGTTTCTATGTTAGTAAAATTTCATCAGGGTACTTCAATAATTGGTGCTAAAAAGAAGATTCGAATTGGTTTTTCACTCTTTCGGATCACCCTGAAAACGGCAATCCGTTGAATGCTATTACCGATCTGTATTAAATCACCCAAATTAATGTGTTGAGTTACGCAACCTTATCCTAAATCTGTGTAATGAGCGATTAAACTATATTTGTAATTTTGAGATAACTAAGTTAATGAAAATCTCCGAAGCAATTCGTTTCGCTCAATTTCATTTTAACCTATTTACCACATCATGATCCGCAAAATGCAAATCGGGATTTTGCGTGCGTAATGGAAAGAAATGTGGCAAGAAACGCAAGCTATTACTTCTATTTCATATCATACGATGGATTGTATTACGCTCAAATCCTATTATCATTACCGTTTAAGGGCAATTACGTTTTATAAATCAGTCACTCGTTCAGATCTGCAAAATGTAAATCTGGGAAATCGTTACTAAGGATTTAAAGTTGCGTAATTGATGTAGTAATAAACATTATTCAAATATAAATGGAAATCTTTGGAAATTTTATATTGAAACTTCTGATCGTAATCAGACAAAAGGGTATGATCAGGCAATTCATAGATATTGTCTAGATATAAGGTATGTTACAGTGTATTTGAATACTTATGGAACTCTGAAAGAATTAGAAATGAAAAACACGCCAGAACTTTCGGGAAAAACGTGATAAGTTATGCACCTCTTTTTCTATGATCATATTATTGTTATCATCTGTCGATCTATTTGTTCTTATTACGACTTAAGAATATAATAGATGTAATGTTAAGTAACTTCTACAAATAATTACAATAAAGTTGTAATATTAACATTCAAATAAATTGTTAGTAATTTTATGAAATATTATGTCATTTAAATTGTATATTACACAGCGAAGTTAATCTAGTAGAAAATTCATTGAGAGTCATGTGATAAAGCGAATCATGAGATGAGACAATTTGGTAACCAATTAATGATGCATATCAACTAATAAATGATACAATGTATATCTAAAATGATAATCTTATTTTCGTGTTTCATTTTTTTTAATTTTTGTATACCAATAATGAGTCTGGCTGACATAAAATGCTTGATTTTTTTCGCATTAAGATGTCAGTCCAAATCATAATGCTAAATAATATTGGTACTGTTAATGCCGTAACTCCGGCCAAAACTACTATGATTTATATCAGTTGCGTATCATTTAGAGTCATTAGATTGTTCTATAATAATGACACATAAAATACAGATACGATATTTATGTAGTATTGTTAATAAAAATTTTTTTTGTCAATTTTTTTGTATAGCCATTATTTGATCGATTAATCATGACCGCATGACGACTCTTTATTCAAAATGAATTAATACGTACGGTGTCAAGTAGAAATGTGACTTCGTGATAATTATTCATGAGTCGTAATATTACGACACATAAGTTTTAAACAGTTGTAATAACTAAAAGCGAGGATAAAAAAATGGTAATAACCATTTAATAGTGGTCATATACATCTCATGGTGGTTCATGACGGTTGTTCCGATATATATAGGCGCTTGGACTTTTGCATTTTGAGCAATTTGAAAGCAAGAGCATTTGCATTAACAAAACTTGCATTAATTATGAAAAACAAAACTTGCATTAACAAAACTTGCATTATGAAAACAAAAGAGCCGACGGTGGACGAAATTAAAAAATATAAAACGAAGGAGCTCATTGACTTCTTGCGGCAGAAGGAGGACGACTTGGAACTTGAGGAGGAGGACTTGGAAATTGTTCGCAGGCAAAGGGTTAATGGCCGTGACTTTTTAAAGATAACTGAAGAAAAGCTTGAAAAATGGGGTATGTCTGGTGGTCCGGCGGCTAGACTTGCCGACTTTTCCGAGGAATGTAAGGAGAGAAAGTTGCGCTCGTTCTTCTCGCACAAGATCCAGAAAGACTTGAGTGGGGTTTGCATTAACGATATTCTTCGTAGGATAAGAAATATTGGACCAGTTAACGATATTCTTCATAGGATAAGAAATATGGGACCAGTTATAGATAGTAATGAGGCTATGCGTTGTGAGTATATTTCTACAATCTTGCATAACCTAGGGCAAACCATTTCAGGCGAGTGTATAATATATTGATTACCTTAGTCTCTGCTTTCTTTATACTAGATAAAGGGTCCACTGATATATTCCGTGTCATTGCAAAATTTGGCTATCTGCCTCGACAAGGTACGTATAAGTTGGTATTCTTTAATAGCATTGTTCTATTTCTAACTTTCAGTCTTTTTCAGCTGACCTTGGTGGTATGTCGTTACCTTCTAATCTGGTAATAAGATCTTCCAATGAAGGTGTTAATCCTAATGATCCAGCCGTCAGTCTAAGATTTGATATCATAAATCCTTTGGTCAGAGAACTTATGAATAAAAAGGTCATACTTGTTCAGGCACCTCCCTTCGCCGGAAAAACGGCAATTACCCAAATTTTGGAGCACTCCTTGGTTAATGCGCCAGAATACTCTCATTATAGGGTAATCCGAATTTCATTGATTTGGAGAGGAGGTATCAATTGGGATAATTTTGGAGAGATGTGGGAGCAAATTGTTGGTGTAACTTGGAAAGAATGGGTACGTCAGTGCGATAAAATTCCATCAATATTGATAATAGATGAGGCTCAATTGATTTACTCGGATAAAGAAATTACTGACAATGACGAAAAAACTGCAGATCAATTCTGGATGACTATTAAAGGCCTCCTTCAGGAAGTATCAGGTATAAATATTATAATGTTTGCAGCCTATGGATATAGAAGTTCTAATCATACAGGATTCTCAACTCCTGTCAAATTACCGAAAGAATATTGCAAAAGTCTTATTGATATCAATTTTTCCCCAAGCGAGTTAAGAACATATGTTCATAAGTTCTGTAATAGTTACCTCAAATTAGATCAGCAAAGCATCTTAGAATTATATAAATATATCCAAGTGGCAACAGAAGGACATGCGGGTTTGGTTAGCCACATCTTGAAGTATTTAGAAGTTGTAATGAATAATCAAAAAGCCCTAAACTGGGTTGAAGCATTCAAATGCTTAAATTCAAAGGATTTTGATTCATCTATCTATACCAACGTCCGTGCTGTACCAAATGTTCAATCACTTAAAAAGAATGGGGATGGGAAATTAAAATTATGTGAGGATACTTATATAAATGGAAAAGTTCCTTTCTCAATAAATAACATGGATCCAGATGCTTCTTATCTAGTCAAAACTGGAGTACTTGCGGTTATGGACGATAAATATTTAACTTTTGCAGCACCTCTTCTTAGGCGGTCATTTTTTCAGCAATATTATGGAATTGAAGATAGTGTTGATATTGCTCCCGCAGATTTATATCATTTTATTGTAAAGGTTTTCACAGCAATGTGTAATGAAAATAGTGGGAAAATTTTAAGAGAAACGCTTGGATTTGGATATGACGGAAGAATCCTGGAACAAACGTGGCAGAAGGAATTTTATAGAATTGGCACATGGGTATTGGGAAAAAATAAATTTTTGTCATGTGAAGTAGGTTCAGTTTTTGGATGTGCAGGAAGGATAGATTTCTACGTGAACGAGTTAGATTGGGCCATAGAACTTTTGAGAGATGGTGAAGATATGCAAAGGCACGAGGACAAATTTGAACCTATAGCAGGAAAATATAAAGAGATTGTTAAATATGCAAAAAGTACAGCTATTATTGATATTCGCAGTGTAAATTTTACTGATAATACTCGCAGTGAAGCAAAAAATGTTCAAAAAATGAGGAAGGATTTCATATACGTGTCATGCTCCAAAGATTTTGATGCATTTAAAATAGAGAGTTTTGGTAAAGAAACTGTATTTATTAGGTCTCAAGATTAGTTTATTCTTCAATCAGACAAAGTAATATGTAACACATTGTTTCTTTTGAGCAAAATGTGAAATAATAATAAAAATCTTGACGCTAAAGAAAAAAAGGATGTATTTTTACTGATAATACTCGAAGTGAAGCAAAAATGAGGAAGGATTTCATATACGTGTCATGCTCCAAAGATTTTGATGCATTTAAAATAGAGAGTTTGGGTAAAGAAACTGTATTTATTAAGTCTCAAGATTAGTTCATTCTTCAATCAGACGAAGTAATATGTAACACGTTGTTTCTTTTGAGCAAAATGTGAAATAATAATAAAAATCTTGATGCTAAAGAAAAAAGGATGTATTTTTTTATTAATACTCAAAGAATGAGTTACATGCAATGCTTATTATAATTATTTGTTTTAATTAAAAATAATATTATGAAGAGATTATTTTGCATGGACTTTTTGCAAATTAGAAATTTTGAATGATATAAATGATATATTATTTTAGCTGGTTGAAGAAAACCTATACCAAAATTTTTTGTGTTGGAGATTGCTGCGCAGTGTGCTGCAAAATTTCATTATACCTAACCCCTTGGAAAAATCATTTCAGTACTAGTACATGATTTAAATTACGATTTAGTAACCCTACAATGAATGTTGGAAATCCACAATTCCTTTTTTATTTTTATAAAAATCATATAATAAAAAAGCAATTGAATTTATCAGTCATACAAATAATTTAAATAGTTTGCAATTATAATTACATAAAAAAAATCCAAAGATTTTTTATTTCAAGTTTAATTATTATTCCCAATATATTGTATTATAAACAAATGATTTTTGTCATGTATTAAATTATTAAATTTTTTTTTCCTTTTTTTATTCTTTTTTTTATTATACAAACTTGTAAAATATGAATCAAATCTCACCTATATATTTTTTTCCAATCCCTATTAATTTAAATTATTGGCAAAGGATAAGATAATTATACTACATTTAGCAAATCATAGCTTCTCGATCAAATTATTTAAAAATGTATTATCTATACGATAAGAAAAGAAAGTGGATGGAATTATATTTTTTCCATTATATTAAGATTTGTATTATTAATATGAATAGATATAATAGTCTCAACTTTGACTAGTTTGTATGAATTTGTGTTAAATTTAATGTGTGATAATCCTGAAATAATTTTTGAATCAGGTGATTTCTTAAAATTATTCATTTTTTTCAAATGTCACGAGTTGGATTTGATAGAAAAAATGAGTCACCTGACCTGATATACCACATGTAGCAACCGCTGATTATTGTTCACGTTATCCCGATTATTTATAATGTATGTAAATACTGAATTACAGAAATCATGATTTATGAGTCATCACGAATTAAGTAATACAAGTAATACATACTATTTTTTCTCTTTATTCTCTTTAATCCCACATTACGTATATATACGTACGTATTTTATGTATGTATGTACATAGTACGTATTGTGTATATATGTAAAACCAAGGGGGATGAAAAAGCTTATTTTTGATTTTACAAAAATAATTTCTTTCTTGATCTGATGCGCTTGTGCATTTGTTTTATTTGTTTTTTGATTTTACGTCTTTTTTTCTTTCTTAACTTGTTGTTTTGATGTACTCGCGCATAAGTAGTAGTATCTGGGCCAGAACATAACTAAAAAAACACAGTTTACATATAGAAATCAAAGAAAAGGGTCAAGTTGTATTATTTTATTATATATCTATACTATGTCCGAACTTCTCTGCTCAAATTTTTGTTTTTAACAACCCAAATAATATTTTATTTTATTTTTTAACCCTATTAATTATAAACTGGTTGTAAGTTTTAAGGTAAGTGGTTTTTTTTTAACCTGAACGAAGCTTGCCACCTCTACGTGGTGTTCAGGAGAAACAGCTGTAGGTTAATTTACCAAACATCTGGCCAAGAGCAAGCATCATTTAAATTACATGTTTTAGTTTTTTTTACGCCACTTTAGTATGGTTTTCTTATATTTTGTAATTATTACGATTTTTTTTAAATTTTTGCATTTGTAGATAAAGGAACTGATGGTATCCGAAGATGAAAGACGTAAAAATGTTTATTCACGTATTTCGTGCGATGATCATAAAACTGACGCATGGCTGTATACTTTATTAAGTTGAAATATCATGATGATTCTTTGGATGTTGCACAAAGCTAACCATTTGGATGTTGTGTAATCTAAATATTTAGTTGTTTACACGAGCATTGCATGAAAAAATTCATTTAAGATTTTTTTATATGAAATAGTATTCCTAAGTACAATTTAAATAGAGTTTAAATAATTAATCCAAATGATATCCAAATTAACACAAGTTTCTCAATTTTCCTTTGAAGAATCACCGTTTGTAAAATATGATTATATTATTTGTTACATTTATAAGCTTAATTATGCCCAATGTCTACGCTCAAGAATATAATCCTACTTCTGATACCTACGATAATTTAATCAATGTACTACTGCCACGGCATTACTTATCATTTCATCATATAAAAGCAGATATAAACATTTAATTGGTCTATTTGAATGTTGTATTCTATGGGTATATTTATTTTTTTTCCCTCCTATTTATAATTATTTTGTTTATAAGAGCACTTCTAAATATGATTTTGTATGTATGATTTCGTGCATAATTTTATCAACATATTTTGTTGGTACATTCATATATGTAATTAAAAATAACGTAATTAAAATTATTGATAAACCTACAAAACCTCAACAACGGCAGAAACTTAGCACAAATCAATATATAATTTTAAGTTTATTAAGTATAATATTTGGTTCAGTAGTTATTCCAACATTTTCATTTACTTATGCAATATTTTGGATTAGAAAAGATGTTATAATTGAAAAAATTACTTATGAATGGTATATAGTAGTTTCAACAATATTTATTTTAATAGTTTTTATATTACTATTATTTGGTCGTCCACTTTTAGCGTTTTATTTTTATTTAGTAGTTTCAATAGGTTTATGTTTTTCTATAGCTTATTCAAGTAATTCTTATTTTACAAAATTAGTTTTGGTATTTATGACTTATTTTTTGGCACGAATATTTGATAGTGAAGTTTTATTAGGTAAATTTGTTAAAAGTATTGATGAATCAGCGTTTGTAAGAGATCTCTTTTATGTAGTTCATAGATGTTTTAGTTATTTCGCTAAGATTGATAGCACTAGAATGCTTAGAATTTATATTGGTAAGTTTTTTTTTTTAAAAAAAAAAGATATATCATGAAAATATGACTTATTCATATAAATTAAAATTGTGAAACATTTTTGTAGATGAAGCTGCTGACAAAGCCATTGATGATATGGATATAAAATTTATGGTTACAGATTATGTCAGTTTTGAAAAAGCTGAAACTACAATTCGGTATAATAGTAATGCTCCTCGAAGTGCTCATTATATTAAGAATATGTAAGATTATTTATTAAAATGCTTTTTAGTTTGACGGTCTCAATAATGTTACTTTTTTTTTTATCAATATAGACGGTATTCTAACTGTTATCTAAACATCACGGTTAATGATGAAACCACGGTAAAGATTTATTATTTAATATTAAATAATTTGAAGAATAAAATTATTAAAGAATTCTTTCATTAATAGGATTACCCTCTTGATGGAGTACAAAAGAATATGTTGTTTCAAACAACCAAACTTCTAAATGGAATCATTTTGACCATGACTTTTCTTGATGAAAAAAATTAATAAGAGAATAAATTGCATACTTTATTCTAATGAATAACTAATAATTCTTATAGGTTAAAATACATGGGAAGGAAGTTACAGTTATCTTTGATTAAACATTTAGATAGTGTCAAGATTTTCAAGTTGGGCGACTTTGTTATGTTTACTCAACTAGAACAAATGTGTTGAATAAATTTATATCATAATTTATTCAAATTTAACCTTTTATGAATGTTGTTAATACACCAAACTTTAACCAAAAGCTTTTTGTGAGTACTAACGCTAGAAGTTTAGAAGATTATATAACGAGTATTTGAATCATGTAATTATTTACTATTGCATTGTTACATAATTATTGAGCTTTTAACGTTGAAAATTAGAATCAATTCTCTGCGGAAAAAAATAATCATCTCAAAGTGAATTATCTGCGAAAAGAGAATAATCGTATGATATACTTTTCAAATACGTTATGGAAAATATGTAAATATTTTATTTAAATTTAATGTATTAAAAAATTATCCGAATTATAGTGATTTCATTGATTAGCTGAAAAATTTACTTAAAATGATTACATGTAAAAAATAAGCAAAATGTTAATATAACAATAGTATTAAAATGATATAGATTATTAAAATAATTTTGTTTGAAGTTGATGAATTAATCCTAGAAATGTGTAAGATGATATTGATAAATGAACATTATTCACTTAACTAAGAAGAGGAAAGTAAAATAAATTAATTATGAAAAAATAACTGCAAAAAAAAAAATAAACATTGTTCTTAAATATTATATTCTTGTACACAATAATTAGCTTATTAAATTCATTTTCATAATAATACCAGTCAAATGACTAATTAATGTAAAAATTCCTTACACAAGGCCACATATAATTTTCCCAAATATGGTCAATAATAGTACAATATATATTCATATAAGTTTTTCGGAATGTTTTTATTTTAAAGTTTTTGCAATATAAGAAAAAAAAATAATACTAATTAAATCTTTTTTTCTGACTATTTCAAGGGTGCTGAGCAATTTTATTTAGTATAACTTGTTTAGTTTAGACCATAGCTTCTGAGAAAACGCACACTATGGCGTTGAGCGCCAGTGGTGTGATTTACACCGTAAAAGTTTATTTTTTTTTAATTTTTTTTTTCAGTACACCATATTACACTCGTAGCTGCTAGATACAATTGATACATGGCTATTTTTTTATCAAAATAATTTTGTGTAATATGTAAAAATAAATTATTTGTGATTCATGCGTTAGTATAGAAAAGTTTTGAAATTATGAATAACAAATTGCTACTCTTAAGTCAAAGTTGTAATTATGGCCGCACGTTAGAAGTCACGTGATTGATTGTGATTTGCGCAGCTGATCGCATTATGAAAGAGACATGATTAATAAAAAAAACTCAACCTTTCCCACTTTATATTTAGAACATTGGGTGGTAGTTCCTCCAATCAAAATTTCATTAACCAGAACTAGGTTAGCCGCAAAAATCTTCATGAATTGGCTATCAGAACGTACATATGGGCTAAAATGACCAAAAAATTTTTTAAATAAACTACTTCACCTAGTAATGTCAAATATTTTTAATACTGACTAGTGTTCACCTGTTGTCTACGACAACAGTTAATATGTAATTCCGGCCAGAATTAAAAGATCTGCAAAGAATATCCTTTTTGGAAATTTGAGCAACACAATTTTTTTAATTTCTCTGAAAGTAACAGAAGACAAAATTTCCTTTTTTGGAAATTTGCGTAACCGACAATTTCCTTTTATGGAATCCCGTGTAACCCAAAATTTCAGTTTTTCGCCAGAAATAAAATTTCCTTTTTTGGTCTTGTGTAACATTGGCGACGAATAGGAGTAGGGTTACACAATTCAAATGACTTATTTATATGGTTAATCTAAACATAACGCCCACGTGATTGCAGTGTTTTTTAATATATAGATTCAAATTTATATAGATGAGATGCAGCAAGAAGAAAATTAATCTATCAAAAACCTGAGAGAAATTATTAAATTAAAATATTAGTAAAGCCATATGTAAAATTATTTTTATGTATGCTGTATATTTTTATATTTTATTTATTATTTTGATTTAAATATATAAGTATAAAACATTTACATGATATAAATTATTATTCAGATGGCTTATAAAAAGAACTCATTTATCACTTCAATGATCTTTTTATTGAAACTGAACCTCTTTATAGACAGAATTAAAAGAGTGTTTGTGAAATGAATATATTAAGTATTTATTAAAATGTATAAGTATATCATTCTAGAATTTATTAGAATATAATAATACTTGTATTATAATAAAAAATATATCCTATGAATTTTGGGAAATTCCTTTACATGTACTGTAATCCTTGATTCTCAATTTGAGCAAGATAATCAAAATCTGAGACTCGGTTTAATAGTACAAACTAAAGAAGTTGAAAATCATCCTAATTTAACTTGGATTTTTAGAGTTAATAGTACATTTTCTTGTTGTGTGGTGAACAGTAACAGATTTTTTACTCAAATTGTCTTGTAGAGTTTGTTCTGAATTCATATTCTCGTCAGAATTATTAGTTTGTTTATAATTAAAAACTACAAAATTTAATTATGATTATTTAATAAAAATTCTAAATCATATCAGATATAAAAATAAAAGTAAATCACAAATATATTATATACTCACATTTATTTGTACATTAGAATAATTCAGCTTGAGATTTTGTGTTTGATTTATGTTTGTATTTGAGTTACTCAATACTTTGTTGTTTTTAAACATTCTCATCAAATCAAAAAAATAAAAGATTTTGAAGTTAACTTCAAAACTTACCATCCATCGTTCTGTTGAATCCAACATCTAGGACTGAATCTACAAAATAAATAGATACATTAATGAATGTTTCATTAAAAAAATAAATGTTGAAAATGGATTAAAAGGGCTGGATCTTACCAAATTTCACGTGTCTAAAGGTCCAGCTATCGAAAATGTTTCAATAATTCAACTCAACCAATTTACTAAAAATAGAAGCATGAATCCTACAAAAATTAAACAAAAGTCCTTCTTTTAAAAGATAGTTTTGAAAGTTTTCAGCCTATAAGATTAAAGAAATGCTCAAAGAATGTTTTAAATTATTTCCAAGGATTCTGAATCAAAGTCAAAATCCTATGAAAAAAAAAGGCAGGTTTTGAAAGTGATCTGAAACTTACTAAGAAATCTGCCTATAACCCAAAAGTTGAAGCTGGAGTCCTTAGAAAATAGATAAAAAATAAAAAGTTATCAACATGATAACCTAGTAGTACCAGAATACTTAGTTTCTTCATACATTCCTATAAAAAGCCTAAAAAAAGAAAGGATTAACAAAATGTTGGTTAACATTTCATTAAAAATAAGACTTAAAGTAAAAACCCACATTCAAAATTCCAAATGTCTAAAAATCAGAGGAACTAGTCTTCTAAAAAAAAGAAAAAAAGTAAAATTTCATTAAATTAATAAAGTCCATTAAAACCCATAGAAAACAAATGCCTAGATCAAAATTGCTGAATTCTGAGTGATACATCTAAAAAAAGAATAAATGAAATATTAGAATAATATTTTGTTAAAAGAGATATATTGAAAAGAACCCTCCTCCTACCAAATCCAACATGTTTGAAGGCTAAAATAAAGGAAAAATCCAAAAAAAAGAAAGATTAATATATAACAAAAAATACAACAAAATAAGAAGAAAATCAGAAGAAACTAATGGGAATTTTGAGAAAAGACCTAAAAGAAATCTAGTACAGAAAAACTATAATAATTTCTGGATAAGGTGATAATTATGAAGATATCACAGTGATAATTATGCAAATATTACAGTGATAATTACAAAGATGTTACAAAAGAATCACAGCAATAATTATTAAGATATCACAAGAGAAGTCACAAAGAAAAAATAGAAAATTTTAAGTAAAGAAAATACAGGACAACCAAAAAGAAGAAATGGCTGGAAAACTATAAAAGAAATATTACAAAAGAAAAAAATAAATAATTTTTAATAAAATCATCAAATTTTATTAGAGATGAAATTCTAAATCATTAAAGAATTGCAACAATTAATTAATAGATGATTGACAAAAATGCTGAAAAAGATAATTGACAAGAAGATCAACAAAAGTATAGAAAACAAACCAATGAAAATTTAGACCTGAAGTTATCAACCAGTTAGAAAAATATTTTGAGAGTAACACAAAAAAAATTGTATACCTACTATAATAGGGAGAGGATAAAATCTTGAATCAAATAATTATGATTGAGGTGCAGTATTGGAATACAAAATCAATACATACAATTTGGAGGATCACAAGGCTTGAGTTCAATTCTTTTAAGGCATATAGATTTATAAAATTTTATAATAGAGATTTAAAAATATAATAATTAGACATGAGTTCGATTCAATTAGATTTGTGAGAACACAAATTTTTAAAGGTGGAAATAATGTAACTGCCAAGTACCAAGCATGAATATCATAGAATAGAAAGTCTTAAATAGAGTAGAAAATTAGAAAATTAGAATATAATGCTAGTTATGTGGATAGCAATGCAGATTACTCCAGGTCATGAGTCTAAACTGATTCCATATATAGTGTTTTATACTATATAGTTCTATGAAACATATTTTTATATTTGAAGGATCAAATTTTTGCTTGAATAAATAATGGACTTTATTTTGAAATTCAAGTTGTATTTTTGTGAAATTAATGAAGATGATTGTGTGGGAACACTTTAGTGGGAATCATAGGCTTCACCATTTAAAAAAAAGAAATGAAATGTTAAGTTTGCTTTCTTGCTGAATTCCTATGCATCTCCTGGCCATCTAAATGAAACAAAATATAACATTAGCAAACATTTCAAAAAAAATAAATTTAAAATAAAGAAAAGAAAAACTAAAATTACCCTACCAAAATTCCATATTTGAAATAACCACCTAAAAAAAAAGAAAGGAAATAAACTATTAACCACTTGTTAAAATAAAGAA